AGTAAAATTCAGTTTAGTTCTTTAATAGAATGGAACCAGGAGAAAAAGCAAACACACTTTAGCATTTATTATAATAATGCAAAAGAAAAAAGTCACTTTCCCACAGATAAAGAGTCCCATGCTTCCTGGAATGAAATATGTAGTTCTGCACATATGATATATTTGCTACCTTCTCCAAGTTGATCTAGAAGATCCTATTCCTATCAACAAAGTTATTACCAAATTCCTTCCCCCCCTCCACTTTCTGTGATTTGTCATAATTCCAGTCAGATGTTTAGAAGAACATAATACAATTCATCTTGCCTGATCTATTATAGACAATATTACAAAAAGCACTATTCCATACTTTTCCAGTTGTGAAGCTAGGCCCACCTTCCCTGAAGACAATGACAAAGTTGTTTTGCTCTTGGAAGAATAAAGCAGAGGAGAAAATGGATAAAACTTCACTGACTGTATATGTAAACATTGTAGGTCAAATTAGGTTATTAAGTAGTAGCCTAGCATTTACAGCCAATTAGGAATAGTGTACAGGTGAGATAGTAATAATATTAGAGAGAAGAAGCACTCTCTCTCTCTCCTCTGTATCTAGTCTAGAATCCAAGCAGGCTGGCAAGAGGGAAACCTCTTCCTCAAGGAAGGTGTCTAAATGATCAAACATGCTCCATGAATCTATGAAGTGAATGTATCTTCTACTTATTGCAACATCATGAAGAAACATACAGGTAATTTTTTTCTCATTTTGGTATAGGAATGGACACCAATGACCATAAATCCTCATCTCTCATAAATGCTCATCTTTCAGGCATTACTTAGTCGGTCCCCAACAAACTAGGATGCCTTATTAATCAGAATGCTATATGTAAGAAACTTACATGATACTAACATATCATAGATGAATTAAAACATAAATAACCAAGGAAAGAAGCAATCTAGAACTAAGGAGAAATTTAGAACAATTAATCAGCCTCCAAAAGTTGTGGGTGTTTCATCACTGGAGGTTTTTATGAAGAGATTGAACCATCATTTTCTGAAATGGCCCAAGGTCCCTTCCAACTCTCTTATTCTGTTAAATGATGCTTCTTGCCAACGTGCTACTTATTTTGATTGGAAGTGAATCTCCAACACTGAGGAGAAGATCTTTCTCATCCCTAATTGCCTGGGATAGTTTTAACTGGAATCCAATCTTTATGAAAAGCTATAGCTTTTATCTGGAATCATATTCTGAGTTCATTTGCTTCCTGAGTTTTCCTTCTAATTTTAGAAAGTACCTTTGAATATCCCCCGTATCCAACATAGAAAAACACCCAAAAGAGCAAACTACTGTAATTTCTAGAGTCAAATTCTCCTCCTAAGGGGAATACTATTTTCTCTAGTTTGCACTGGATTTTTTCAGAAAACCAAAGAAGTCATGACTCTCCACTCCCACACAGGCCAATAAACATACCCAGTCTAAAAGAAGTAACTCTTGTATGTTCATATATTTTACACAACCATAAACATACAGGAGGTTTTATTATCCAGAGATCAATGTAAAATACCCAAAGGGCTTTTCTTTTTTTTTTTAGGGATGAGGGTACCTTCAAGTCAATGATAACTCCTGATGACCGCCTGGACAAGTCCCTGCAGTTTTCTTGGCAAGATTTTCAGAAGTAATTTTACCTCTGCCTACTTCTTAAGGCTCTGAAACCTTGACTTTCCCAAGATCACCTACCTGGTTTTGTGCTAAGTGGGAATTAGAATCTTCTAGCCCAGTGCCTTAACGACTGCACTAACTTTTGATCTATCTAAACTATACTTTGCCCAAAAATACTCATAATACTTCTAATCTTTGTTGTACGCATCATGTGTATTTGTGCCTGCATGTACACACATTTATATAATTCAGCGAGAGAAAGAAAACAAACTAATGTAAAACAATGAAATGTATTGATATATCAGCTTGATCTGATCATCACTGATAATCCATTGAGCAAGCATTCTGTAATATGTTCACAATTCTATCTAAAGTAATACCATGCCAAAGTCCCTGAAGATACCAAGGTACATACTGTATGTATAGAAAAGAATAATTAGCTTAGGCTGCCATTTCAGAGAGAATTCAGTATTGAGTGTACAATTCATAAATGTACTTTATTTGGTAGCATTCACAGAGTAGAACATAATGCTGACAATCTCTGTCATGCACTCAAAATTATCTCCAAACCTTTCTTAAATGTGCCCTCTAGTGATTTTTAATGCCATGTCTTTCAAAGCACTGTGAAACATATTAACTATACTGATTTTTAGGGGACCTAACAATACATCTGCCAGATAATTGGAATGTCTATGAAGTGGTTGTGCCTTTCATTACTCATTACTCATTACATTAAAAAGATATCAATACAAAAGGATGTGCAAATAACTTAAAGTGGTTTATTAAATGTGTTTTAAATGAGTTATTCCAGAAAAATGTTCAAGTTCTGCATGTTAATGCACACTATCTACTAAAGTTAGTATCGGGTACTATGTTGAATATTGCTCATTTATCTCTTTGATACATTAATTCAATTGTTTTGGAAAGAAAGCCGCCTGCCTTATTTCCAGAGCGACGTAAACAGGGAAGGCTTTTCCTTCTTATCAGGCAAGAAAATTAATCTGTGATGAGGATGAATGGCTGATGATCGCACAAAAAATATAGAGAACCTTTGAAAATTGGAACCAGAGCTTCCTTTTTTCCAATTTTGATCCTATAGAGTTCCCAACCATTCCAACTCTGTGGACCGGCAGTGGTGGCAGTGACTGCAGCAGGGGGAGAAGGGGTGGTTTCATGTGCATACCTGCCACTTAGGCAAATGGAGCTTTGCCCGCTTGCTTACCGCTTGCACAACCTGGTTCCCAAAGGACCACGGATCAGGCCCAGGCTGTGGACCAGGGTTGGGGACCCCTGCTACAGAGGAGGGTTAGTTGATGGACTACAGTATAAATCAACAAATTCATTCATTCATTCATTCATTCATTTATTTATTGGTTCGATTTATATACCACCCTTCTCCGGAGATTCAGGGTGGCTACACTGCGTTAAGCAATAGCCTTCATACTTTTGTATATACCTGCTTAGTAGGGCTTTCGGGGGGCCCTAAGCGGTGGTTTTTTTTATACAAAGTCAGCTTATTGCCCCCACAATGCGGGTCCTCATTATAGAGTTCTAATTAGCATGTTACTTTTTCCTACCTCTCATTTTCAGGTCCGCCAATAAAGAAACTTGGGAAGAGAAGGGCAGATGGACAAATTTAAGAAATGAGGACATTAGTGTCAAGCTTCATACCAGACACAACAATAAATCTCAACTCTCCAGACAAGTAACCCTCACTTTCAAGAATTTGCTTACAACAAAAGTTCACAGTCATCACACAGCTACATTAGTTCCTTTATAGCTGACAAGAATGAAACCATATTTACAGAGAAAATCCGTTTATTGCAGTATGCACAAATCAAGTCTATATATAAATCTAAAGTCCAATGTTTTTAATCCTATGCTCTTTCCTTCCACCTTTTCAAATCACTAGACATTTACTTGTTGCTTCATTATCTTGAGATTTTGAGGTACTTCCTCAGGGTTGACATAACAGTTCTTTTCTGGAATGCAAAGAGCTGGCTCCTGTCTTACCAATTTTATGCCTTACAATAAAGCCTCTTCAGATAACAGCACAAAAGATTAGTATTTTGCCGCACATGGAATAAATGTCAGAGAATTGGTAATTCATAGATTAAAAGACCTCACAAATCAAGATGTGTAGGACCTACAGAATTTTCTTTCATGCTTTAGCAACTAGAAAATTAAAATTGCCATTTGAGAATAGGAGCATTTTCCTTGACTTCAGCTATATTTGATTCTTTCAAATAATATGAGGCCAGATTATATTATCTTCCATTCTCCCTATATGTGATCTTTGTGATATGCTGATAAAACATCTGAAAAAGTAGGCATGATATGATTGTCACCTTATACCTTACAATTAAAGATAAAGTACATATGGTAAGTGAGTACCCTATAGATGAAGGGTGTCAAACTCAATCATGTCACGTGATGTATCATGATGTATTGCAATGTTTTTTGCCTTTCCTGAGCCAGGGTGGGTGTGGCCTGTGTGTGACACATCTGGCCCATAGGCCGCCATTTGACATCCTTGCTATAGATAGAAGTAATAAATTTGGCAATCATTTTAGATAATTTTTAAGTCCTGAAGTCGTACAGAATCTTCACAATCACATTTTGATAATATAACGTTAACTATAAACATAACTACTGATTTTATACGAACACATTGCAATGTGTTGTTAAATTATGTACTTTGCAATTTGACTACTTTTGACGTATTATGGTTGGGCCTTCAGTGTTGGTTAGAAAATTGTTCTGAGAAATTGGAAAATTATTCATATTCCTCATATTAAGGATTGAATTCAAGAGATATGTGATTTATCTGTTTTTGAACAGGCATTTTTATCTATTAATTTTAAAAAATGATTCAATGTGTTTTTCTCTGTGACATAGATTTCCTGATATTTTGTAATGTCAGACAAACATTAATTTTTCCCGCTCAGATGAATCTATAAATTTGTTTTATATTTGATTAATATATAATAAACATCAATAGTTTCCCCCTCTCTATTAGGTTTTTTGGTTTGGTTTGTTTTTGTAATTTGTCATTAATTGCTTTCCCTTTTTGCACATTTAAAAATTCTACATTCGTTACATTAATTTCTCTAAAACTTGTTAATAAACAAACAAGTAATAAGTTTGTTTTTTTAAAAAAACCTCACGGAGTTGGAGGTGATCAGGCTTAAGGAATGATTAATGAAGCAGATAGTCAGAAAAACAGTTAACCCTTCCTGTTGCAAATTCTCTTCCTTGAACCTGCTTTTTACTTTAAAAAAAGAAATTGTTCTTGCACATATTAACACTCTAAAAACATTATCAGCAACTTTAAATAATGCAATGACTATGAATAAGACAAACTTACCCACTTAGGACCACAATGAAATCCATGACATTCCATCCATTTCGCAGGTATGAACCCTTGTGGAAAACGAATCCCAATGCAACTATTTTAATGCCAGCTTCAAAGCAAAAAATCCCAATAAAATAAGGTTCTGTCTTTTCCTACAATAACAGAGGAAACAAACAGATCAGAAATTGTAATTAGCAAATGTCAAGGATAAATTTTTGGAGCTTCCTAATTGCAATTTCTAATTCCTAATTTGAGTTTAGATTAACTATGTTTATTTAATCCATTTGAATTCAACAGGATTTAATAAGGTCTTAGTATTAGATTATTTACTGAGATGATCTTGAACTTTTTCAGAATATATTCAATAATCCAGACAAGATCTAACCAGTCCTATTGATTTCAGAAGAATTTTCCTTAAGTGGGATGGATATGTCAACATCCAATGAATTCCTTTTTAGTGCCACACTTCATGTGGGACTAAAAGATTTTAAATATTAAGCTTAGGCTCTTTGTGACTAATGAAAACCTTGTTGCCTGCTAGTTCTTGTTCTCCTTCCCTCTCTCTCCCTCTCTCCCCCTCTCCCTTCCTCCCTCCCTCTCTCTCTCTCTCTCTCTCACACACACACACACATACACACACACACACACACAACTGCTAGATGTTTAAAGCAACAATAAAAACCAGTTCCAATTACTGAAATCATATGGTACATTTTAATAGTGTTGACATAATCCACTAATCTGATGACAAGTGGCTATGTAACATTATCTTATCTCTCCATCATATGCAACATTTACTTCCTAGTACTGGTAATTTACAAGCTTACTAATTTGTTCAAATTCAGAATGGCTCCATGCAGAGTGTACAGGAAACAGTTTCAAACAACAAAATTTGGGAATAAATCCTGATTTCCATACCCCAATCTTTTATCTTAATTTATTGTTTTAGCTTAATTTATTGTATGCTCCCAGCCATTTTGAAGTTTCTTGTCCTGGACAACCAGGAAAATGGTAACTTGGCCTAGACTAATTTTCAGAAGAAATAAGAGCCAAGAGTGTTCTGTGCCAAACTTGGGTTGGAACTCTGCAATTACAACATCTCAGGCCTTTGCTAAAAGGCTGGAGGACTATTCTCAATCATGATAACTCTGAAGGTCAAGACAAAACTGAATAGCTACTGATTTATCATCCTTGAGACTGAAATTATACAATGGAAAAACTGCAGTACTATCTAGAAGAAAGGAAAATCAAATAAAAATTAAAGTCAACTTACTAATCTGCGAGACATAGGTGTCTTATCATCTTCAGGGAGATGCTGCTCCAAGGCCAGAACGATGCAGTTTGCAATGATGGTTGCCAGAATCATGTATTCAAAAGGCGTATAGAATTATGTTAAGGAATACAAAGCAAATAGCAGACATGGAACAACATTCTGAATCAATTGTCTCCTTGTTCAATCATGCTTTTTTGTTGCCCCTTCTACACCCCTTAATACTCATTAATATCACCTGCCCCAGAAAGATAAGTATTTTTGAGGTAAGCAGTCAAGTGGAACACTCTGATAAATATATTTGGAAGGTATACAAGTGATGAAGGAAAGATCCAAGTAGAATGGTACATATTTTTGTACACATTTGAGTGTCTTCAACAAATCACCCTAGCATTTTATGGTGTGTGATGTTTCAAACAAAAGTGAGAAGAACCAGAGTTCTACACATCTAAAAAATTCACAGCACAGTAATGAAGATAAGACCCAGTAATGCTACTGTTTGTAGGTAGCCTAGAAATTCTCAAAGGAAGGATGAAACAACATACAAAACAAATATATAAAAGAGTTGCAGTAAAGCTGTGGATTTAATTTCAATAAATTAATTGTCCACGGAAAGTGGACAATTTCCTTTTGTGGTGGCCCCAGGATCTCAGTCTTGTCAGTTTCTTTAGCCAATTCAGCAACATAAAACAGTCATCAAGTAAGCCCTGGCTGATTGCCATCCAAAGAACAGCAAAACTGCAGCTGAGTTCATCCCATGCTGATGCTAAGCAAGAGGTTCTTTTTGCATTAAATCAAATGCTCAGAATGAGCAATTGAAAAGACTAATATGTCACCCTCCATTATTGGCAGCTCCATTGTTGGTCAAGGGTGGGTGTGAAAGGGAAGCTGTCTCTTTGAAGCTTTAGAAAGCTGAGAAATAAAATTGTTGTAATTATTAATATTGTGTTGCCACAGACTTCCACTTTCCGATCAGCTGTGTAGGTACAGATTGACTTAAAAGTGGCAATTTGAGTTGTCAAGGTTATTAAGGCAAGGATGAACCAACCTCTCAAACTATTAAATTATCCATGTAGAATTGGCAGGTTTTGACCCCCCCCGACGCATCTTTTTCTCTGCCTCATGGTTCATCTCCCTCCTTCCTCACACATCAAAGTCCAATTTTGTCTCTGCTTTGGTCCCTAGCTTTCCTCTTGCAACTGTAGTAGCTATTACAAATGCACACTTTTAGAAGCAAGGCTGCAGGAATCTTTCATCCGGACTAAAGGAAGTTTAGTCAATACTCAGTGGGATACCTAGGACCTGCCTAGAAATTATACCCACATCTAAACTGAGTCAGGGGTCACCCAAGTCTAGTAGCAGGAGTTGGAGTGATGGCAAGTGAGAGCTAGTCCTGAAGTGGAACAGACAAAAAATACTCCATTGTTGTTTAAGCACCAGTTGCCAAAAACTAGGACTTTGCTATTTATATGGCATGTGATCAGACTGGAGTCTTTCTATTCGTATTTACCATAGTGTGAGAGAATATTGTAACCTTCCTGCTTTTTCCTGTACCTGAAGGGGTTTCTCACTGTAAATTGGATCCTCAGACCTCTCAAGAAGCTAAATTCTACCGTCTTAGCAGAAGCCTCTGTAAGAAGAGATGCAAAAATATACAAAGGGAAAGGAGGGCACAAAGGAACAACTACTTCTCCAGCTGACCTGCAGCAACTGGTATTTTCTGATCACTGACAGACTACTTTAGAGAGTTCTACCTTCTGGTCTGAAAGGCTTATCATTCCCATCTCTGGCACATCCCATCTCTGCAGTGACCAAAAACTCCTTGTTAGACTATTCCAAAACAATCAGGGTTGGGTGAAAATAATCGGAATGTGTATGTTGCAAAATGCTGGAAAAAGCAGTTCATCCTTGCTTTCCAACTGTTGCACTAGCCGCAGCCTGCTTAGGCATAAAGCCAGCTGGGTGACTTTGGGCCAAGTATTCTCACTCAGCCCTAGGAAGGAGGCAATGGCGAACCACTTCTGAGAAATCTTGTCAAGAAAAGTGCAGAGACTTATCCAGTCTAAGAACTGGATATGACTGAATGGAAGAAAAACAAATCTTCCTCTCCACTTACTGTATAACTAACAACAGCATTTCCAGCAACAAAGAAAAAGGGAGCCTTGGGGGGGGGGGCGGTGTTTAGCCATATACAGTGGCAGATTAAGGCTCACTGGTGCCTTAAGCACTGACAAATCTTGGTGCCCCCCTCCTTTGTACATACTGTACAAATGAAGCCAAGCTTAGGCTACATATAAATTCTACTCACATCATGTATAATATTTGGCTGCCATTGTTCCCAACAAGATGTTTTAGTTTAGTTTTATCAATTTTTTTTTTACAAATCTTCATTGGGTTTTTTTTTTCTTTCTCAACTTTGTGGTGCCCCCTTTGGGCCTGGTGCCCTGGTGCTTAGTCTGCTTAATGGTTAATACACCACTGGCCATATAGGATGTAGACTGCTCTCTTCCGCTGTCAACTGGAATTTAAAAAGCCAGTGTTATTGTTTCCCTGAATAAGAGGCCAGGGACAGGGTAGGATGGAGAAAACATGAGTCAAATAAATGCCTTGGAATGTGGAACTAGGAGTGAGAGCTGGATCTCTACAGCCAGAGTTTTTTCATATGTGAAATGTCTTCTGACATATTTCATGAGAGACCAGAAGCTGAAAATCCTATTCATCCATATAAAAGTGCCAGAGGAAGGTGGTGGTGAAGTGAACTGTGCAAGGAAGATGCCAAAACTGATAATTTGACCATAATTCCTAATATAAACCTTGATTTGACATAACCTGTAATAATTATGAGTTATTGAGCTGCACTTACCACTTTCACAAATGTGCTAGAGACCGATGGGTTTGTGTAAAATATTATGTACCAGCAAACAGAGTTTCAACATAACTCTTTAAAAACATTAAAGCAATTTTGGAGATTTTGGTTTAAAAATAGAACCTTCTTGTTGGAAAAGAATTAGGTTTTAGAGAATTAATATTTCTCTGTTCTAACTATCTTCCTTAAATGCCCCTGTTTTTCTTTACTGAATACACTTTTGGGAATTCTGCTCCATTCCTTACCGTCTGTACATATAGAAATGACAAGGATTTTACAAAGTTAGTCTCATATCTTCAGATTTTAACTCCAGGAAAAACCAGCATAGAGTGCATAGCATATTTATATGTATATATTGCAATTTTGAGATTCCTATTTAAACCAAAAACACAGTACACAACTCTCTCCATTTCTAATACTTAACAAGTTACATTGGAAGTTCCTCTCTTCTATTAAGTTTGGCAGATTGCCTGGCAAAATGAGATCTGAGCACGGTGAAGCCAAAAAGAAATTAAAACCAAAAAAAAAGCTCTCCCATTTATCTTCTTTTAGTTCCCATTTTCTTAGTAATCAAAACCCTTAGTATTGCTATAAATTTGTATATATTGCAGGTCATGGCAAGTATAAGATTTTTCTTCCACACAAGGAGAAAAAAATATACAAGTTCCTAAAACTTGTACTGTAGGTGCTAATTATATAAATTATACATTTGCTTCTATATATACAAGCAAGTGTATAAATACTTTCTGTGAATAAAACTGCAGTATATTTCAGCAGAGTGGCGAAAGCTACAGCTACAGATCAGTACTCTATGCTAATTAGATGATGAGCTACCACAAGCATCCTGCCCTTCCCTCCAAAGACTCTTTATGTTGAAACTTGGCATAAAGTATGCACCTTTTAAAAAGAGGGCAGTTATAAAGTGGGGCACATGGCTACCAGAATGGGATATTAAGAAAAACATCAGTTTAAGTTTATTGAAAAGTTGCTCCTGAACAGTTAAATAGATAATAGACTGCATTTGTCTTTCCTGGGATGGCATATAAATAATTGCTGCTTTCTATTCAGAGTATGCCTACCTTTTATCTCGCCAACTCACAACTCTTCGGACTAGACCCAATCTCCTATTTTAATATTCCTTTCTTTCTTTTTCTTCCTTCCTTCTGCCCTCCCTCCCTCCCTTCTTTCTTTCCTTCCTTTCCCCAAATTTTTAAGGCTGAAAGGGGGAACAAATGCTTCACTACTGTTAATTGTTAGGTTGAAGTATAATGAGAAATGGCAAACTGAACTCAGTATGTTTCTCTGCCCAACTGAATAATTTATGAAAATTGCTGATGCTCTTATTTAAAACAACATATCGATTGTATGTAATACGAAGTGAAGTTTATTTCAATGTAAAACTTTTTTGAAGATTTGCAAAATGTCAAAACATCTTTAGAAAAAGGAAGAAAACCTTAACCCTCCCTTCTTTGAGGGAGATGGGTGGTTGATAAATATAAAACATAAATAAAATAAACCCTCAGATTACAAAATGACACACGACAGAAGACTAATAATTCATTCTTAAATTCTGTTCTGTACATCTGTCAGTCCTAGATAATATAGTTTAAAATAAGGGTAGTTGGTGAATTTTGCTTCCTACCTATTCAGTTAAATATGGAACTAATGCATTTTAAAATTATTGGTGCAGAAGAATTTGTAATTTAACAAGATACAGTTCATTATTAAAATGAAGAATAACTTCAGAGCCAAGCTAGATGAGATATTAATGATCTTTGATCAGATTATCTGACATTTCTTCGAAGAAAAAAGTTGCAGAGTTTCCCATGTGCTCTTAAATTCATGAAGAAGTTCTCTCAACGATTTTTTTCCACATAATTCTCAGATGGATTAGTCTGCTATTCAATACTAAGAGAAGTTGCACCTATTGAAATTCCTGGTTACCTTAGTTAACTGTAATGATTTGATATAATACAAAGTATATTAACAAATCTATAAGTAAATTAACATTTTAAACATCATATGGAGACTAGGGATTTCCTAAATTATTATTTTAATTATAATTAGATTTTTTTTTTCTGCTGGCCATGCTCATGTTCTTTTAACTGTTGCTGGACAGAGAGAAATTACATAGGCGATTTCCTGACCATTTACGTGACGCAAACCTCACTGAAATTACCATTAAAAATACAAAAGATTCTCTCATTCATTTCCTCCTTGGATTTATCATCGTCCCTATCATT